CCGTCCTTTATCCCTGTGGTTGCTGTTGTCAGACAAATCTATGTCCTCGAGGGATCCCTACTTTGGATCTGGTTTTTCGATCCTTTTGTTAATGATTCTGTTCTTGGTTTGGGTTTGTTTTCAAATACTTAAACATTTGTTCCAGATTTTTCGTTTTTGGATTTGACTGAGATGATGATTTGTCCTGAGAAGTTGTGTGTGAACTGGCGGTTTCCAAAAGAGTTGTTGAATCGGCAGATAGTAAGATGACTTCGGGAAATTCAGTGTTCGTCAAGGGGTAGTCTGTCTGAAATTGGCCTGTTCTTCACCGAGAACAATCTTCTTCGCATTTTGAGATGTTCCGTTCATGTTTTACTTTTACAATTTTGGACTTTTGGACGTTTGAATGTAGGACAGTCTTTAGAAGATTACCGCCAAAGTTTACACATGAAGGATCTTTGTCACACGCAGCACTGTCTGCACAATTGCCACCACAGCGGTGAAAAGCAGCTTGCTTATCGCATGTTCTCGAACCATGGCCATAATGATGACACTTTAAGCATCTCAGTGGGTAAGGGGATGTGCATATCAACTTTGATGTTGCAATATCCTGCTGTAAAATAATCGGGAATTTTTGGCGGACAAAAAGTGAGAAAGTAGGTATTGGTCTTAGGGACCTCAACATTTCTCTTAGAAGACAGGCGTTTCACAGACATAACATTTTGGCTTTGCGGTTCTTCCAAAACGCCATTCTCGGTCATATGAGCAAGGAATCGGCCTCTGCCTCGCACTGTTCCCTTACTGCTATTAAGGGACATATGCGGGGAAACAACAACTGAAACATTTGCAAGGGTTGTAATTGAAAGAAGGCTAACTGCTTGCTTGTGTCGCCTACATTTGCACAAGTATCCACTGCTAAAGCTATTGGCATCTGACATCTCAAGCCATACCTTGTATAGCCTTGCCAACAACAAAAGGATTTAGCTTTAGGGGAGTGTCATCCGGAGCCGAGATAGCCAAGAATCGAGGCCAATTTTCCAATGTAACCGGAGGTGTCCTCAGATTGTCATTCTCATTATCTAACCACTCATGTGAAGCATGAGAACGTTTTTTTATTGGGGGTTTCATAGTGGTAGTGATTGTGTTTCACCTTCTTGGCTCCCAAACCCAACAGAGAGTATCAACGATGACGATGTCATAGGCGTGTGGGTCTCCGACACGCGACACCCAGGATACCAATAGGGTATACTCAAGTAGAAGCATCAAGAAAATGTTCCACCAGACAGGCCGATGAGCCACCGCCTTCTGGGCATTGACACTCAAGGCAAATATAGAAATATTTTAGTAATTGTAGATTTTGTAGTTTCATAATATACATTTCAAAAGTCTGCATGTGTATGAGTGTAATATGACACTGGTCTATTTGTCCAATAACATCAGAATTAAAATTGACCACGTCAATAGCATGAAATAAAGCTCAAGGGAGACTTTTTTTAAAATGTGCAAATGAAAAATAATGCCGCCTCTTACACCCAGTAATAGGGTGCTGGAGACACATTCTACCCTGGGTCCCTGCTGGGGTGATGGGGGGTTGTCTGACAAAATAGAGACGAACTGTATGTGACTGTACGACACCCACTGGCAGACACAGCTGGGTGGGTACAGGGGTTGTCTGACAAGCTGTTGACGTATTCTATGTGACTTACGATACCCATTGGCAGACACTGCAGGGTGGGGACAGGGGTTGTCTGACAAGATGGTGATGAGCTGCATGTGACTGCATTGGCAGACAATGCAGATTTGATTCCTGCGATATAACATATAATGACCTGATTGAAGTGAACACATAGAACAGGGACTTGTAATAGCATTTAATGATTAGTTCAACCGTACATGTACATTTTTACACATAATTACAACGGCCTTAGCCAAACATCAACTTGCATGCTATAAAGACAATACATCATAAACAAAACATCTTCAATTATCTAAATGGTTAGATTCAATTTAAGGACCTGTGAAGATCCAGGTAGAGAACAGGTCTTTAGCACCATAACTGGCAACTATGCTTGTCGTAAGAGTCAACTTACGGGATCGGGTGGTCAGGTTTGCTAACTTGCATGATGCATGTCATCATATCCCAATTGTGTAGATTGATGCTCATGATGTCAATCACTGGATTGTCTGGTCCAGATTTGATTATTTGCAGACCGCCATCATATAGCTGGAATATTGCTGAGTGCAGCGTTAAACAACAAACAAAAAGATACAATTTAGGATGAGAATCAAACGTATCTGTGTCAAAGTGAGTGTGATGGAGGCAAATATTACTTTCAGTGTGAGTGCTTCCGATAAAACAGATCCTTTTTTACTTAAAGCAGAAATGAAAAAAGAATGGTCTCATGCCCATTGTCTCACATATGCACAAGAGGCTGAGAACTAACGTCTTTAGAGCTTCATTTGCAACACACAGTTCTTGGTGAAACCCATAGATGCCGGCATGGTGCTGACAAACCAAGAAACAGAACTACCGCGAACTGGGATTCGAACCCATAATCATTGGTTTCCGGAGCGCCCAAAGGATTCAACTACGGCGTCTGAGATGACTGGGCCACCAGTGCCCCCCAATATAAAAAAATCCACAAAAATCAAGTAAAACAGTAATATAAAAATCTTTTCTGCAGGCATTTGAATGGAATAGCTTTGCAAACTCATCCCTAATTGTATGAAGATGATCAATATGATTATTGAACACTAATTATCTGCATGTTTATCAGACCTACAATAACAATCCTGAGTAAAATGCAAAAAACATAAAGGAAAAAAATGCCCTCAACTCAGAATACACCTGTAAATCTTTGTGAAATAGGTTGCAAACATACGGGTATTAACCCTGTGATAATCAAGTAACAAACATCTCACTGCTTATTCTTTTGACATGTCCAGAACATGTTCTGCACACAAAGCGTTTTCCACTGCAGAAGTTATCTAGCCAACATTTACCGTGGCAAATATGTTCAATGTTGAGCTATTCTTCTCATTACCTGGATCCACCACTGTACAGACATCTTCACCAGGTGTCAGCAAGACCTAGCCTCTTGTGCTACAGACATTTCCCCTTGGGTGTCAGCCATCTTCCCGAGGCAAGAGAGTATAAAAGTTCAGTTTCCACCCTTGCCGAGCTAGGCTGGTATTATCGACTAACGAGTCTATGCATAGTCCAATCAAAATCGCACACCGAAATCGAAATCCGGTTCGTAAACTGTCATGCAGATTTCGGTCGATTGCGGTTTTTGCACAGCATGTGCACCGCCACCTCGTTCTCAACAGATATTTTCCAAATCTTTTCAAAGTTTTTAATCAACATGCTCACGTGATTTGATGCACTTCGCGATGTAAACCCTGTTTTATCACAATATTGATCTTGATTATCGATCAGATCGTCTTGACTGGGCGCCGCCATTATTTGAAACAAATGCAAGTGATACGAGAGGTGGAATTTTGATTGGTCCATAGGAGCGGCAAAGAAGGGACTTAACTTGTAACGGCCATTGGTGGCGCTACGATCGAGCCAAGGAATTCAAGCCCGGTTCGGCAAGGGTGGAAACTGGACTTTTAAAGTCAGTTAACTCCCTTGCCTTGGGAAGATTGGTCGCAGAAAGACCTACCCTCTTGTGCTGCAGACATCTTTTCCGGGTGTCAGCGAGGCCTTGCCTCTTGTGCTACAGATATCTTCCCTGGGTATCAGCAAGACCTAGCCTATTGTGCTACAGACATTTCCCCTAGGGAGTCAGCAAGACCTAGCCTCTTGTGCTACAGACATCTTCCTTGGGTGTCAACGAGGCCTTGCCTCTTGTGCTACAGATATCTTCCCCTGGTATCAGTGAGTCCTAGCCTCTTGTGCTACAGATATCTTCCCCTGGTATCAGTGAGTCCTAGCCTCTTGTGCTACAGATATCTTCCCCTGGTATCAGTGAGTCCTAGCCTCTAGTGCTACAGATATCTTCCCCTGGTATCAGTGAGTCCTAGCCTCTAGTGCTACAGATATCTTCCCCAGGGTGTCAGTGAGTCCTAGCCTCTTGTGCTACAGATATCTTCCCCTGGTATCAGTGAGTCCTAGCCTCTTGTGCTACAGATATCTTCCCCTGGTATCAGTGAGTCCTAGCCTCTAGTGCTACAGATATCTTCCCCAGGGTGTCAGTGAGTCCTAGCCTCTTGTGCTACAGATATCTTCCCCAGGGTATCAGTGAGTCCTAGCCTCTAGTGCTACAGATATCTTCCCCAGGGTGTCAGTGAGTCCTAGCCTCTTGTGCTACAGATATCTTCCCCTGGTATCAGTGAGTCCCAGCCTCTAGTGCTACCGATATCTTCCCCGGGTGTCAGTGAGTCCTAGCCTCCAGTGCAACAGATATCTTCCCAGAGGTGTAAGCGAGTCCTAGCCTCTTGTGCTACAGATATCTTCCCCGGGATGTCAGTGAGACCTAGCCTCTGCTGCTACAGATATCTTCGCCGGGGTGTCAGCCAGGCCTAGCCCATGCTGCTTCAAGTCACATCAAGTCCATAAACTAGCAGCAGATCCTTGTGTTGGTTAAGCGGACAGTCGCATGTTGAGTCACATCAAGTCCTTACACTAGCAGCAGATCCTTGTGTTGGTTAAGAGTACAGTCCCATGTTGTGTCACATCAAGTCCTTAAACTAGCATCAGACCCTTGTGTTGGTTAAGCTGACAGTCGCATGTTGAGTCACATCAAGTCCTTACACTAGCGGCAGATCCTTGTGTTGGTTAAGCTGACGGTTGCATGTTGAGTTACATAAAGTCCTTACACTAGCAGCAGATCCTTGTGTTGGTTAAGCGTACAGTCCCATGTTGTGTCACATCTAGTCCTTAAACTAGCATCAGACCCTTGTGTTGGTTAAGCTGACAGTTGCATGTTGAGTTACATAAAGTCCTTACACTAGCAGCAGATCCTTGTGTTGGTTAAGCTGACAGCATTGGGAAGCGATAATCCATCACTAGGGCAAATACTTGAAGGAGTTTATTATGTTGGGATGACAACAGTACAAAATGTGTGCTTACAATAAGGTATCGTCCACACAATTGTCACAAGTGTAAAAAAAGGAGACCACGCTTTTTAAGAAAGAAACAAACAGAAAATCTTTGTATCAAAATAACCAAATGCAAGTAGACACATCCTGCATGAGGTAAAATAGCTCCTGCACATGGTACAAGCTACCACAATGATGCAGCGTTCATTAGCATATTTTTCATACAATACTGCTTCATACCATATTGAGTGACAACACAGAGTTTTCATCACATCTCTGATATCGCTCTCTTGTTTGAACTACATGAATGGGTGGGTTTGGTAAAACGTCACTTTGATAAGTATTACAGTTATATGAAGGGATGTAGGAGAATAGTGGCACAAGTAGGTGCTGACTAACAAAGAGACATAATCAAGGCAAACATGGCTTCAAGCCCATGTTTAGCTGGAGCCCTAACTACCCATAATCTATATGTGAAGATGTTAAAGCTGTGCAATGTTATTTCTGCATTATCTTGTGACTAATTTCTTCAATGGGTGAGTGGCAAGTGGCAAAAGCATAACAAATATTTGGCTGATTCTCAGTTAGCAAAAACAAAATGAAGGTGACCACGAATTGCTGGCACAATGAAAAGTAAAAACAACCTGTCATGATGGTTATCCAGTTATTTTCACTAACTCATTCCATCTTTCCATTCTCGAGAAATTAATGCATCATTTTTGCATCAAATTTGTCTAACACAGAAACAGTCACCATTTCACTGTACATGTCCTCAAATCCCAAACAGTCCAACAACATTTGAGAAAGTAGCTGAGTTAAGGTTTCATTCCATCATGTAATCACTTACACATGAACATAATCATAGCTAACAAATCCATCGTCTTGATACAAGATAACCTTTATACAAAATGATAGTTCTGGGAGGGTTGCATCTCCTGATACCTCCCACCTGCTCGCTGCATCTCATAGCTCTGCCATAAAGCTGTATCACAAGGTCGCACAAACACACAACATGCTGCCAACTTGTCACTTTCAAAATACAGATGTTCTTCGCTGTTCACTTTCAGAATACACATTTCCATGTCCAAAAGAGCCATGCTTCAGTACAAATGGCAACATTGAATTAGTAAGTTGCTTTTTTCCATCGAGATCTATAATTGATGTTGCCATGATTACAACCACTTCTACAGGTGTTATATTTCTGTACAAGTATAGAGTATCTGGAAGCGGGTCAAGTCTGTAACACAACCTACAAAGTCTGTCATTATCTTTTTGCATGCTGGGATATGTAGTCTCGAACTTTGGCCTTGAATCCTTCCTGTAAAATGACATAGGATTGGAAACGTAATTGTTTATTGTGACAAAAGATATACAAGCAAACAAAATGTTAAAATACATTTACACACATATTGCTGTTGCTGTTGGAACAGCAAAAAGAAATGTAAATGCTTTTGTGTAAATGTTGATTTCATTGAATGTCACCGTGTCATAGTCAGTAGACAGTAGACAGTCACAAACTTACCCTATCTCTAGCATAATGTTCTAATGAAGGATGAGAGTAAACAGTCACAAACTCATCCTATCTCTAGCATAATGTTCTAATGAAGGATGACAGTAGACAGTCACATACTGATCCTATCTCTAGCATAATGTTCTAGCTAAAGATGACTATAGACAGTCACATACTGAACCTATCTCTAGCATAATGTTCTAGCTAAAGATGACAGTAGACAGTCACATACTGACCCTTTCTCTAGCACAATGTTCTAATGAAGGATGACAGTAGACAGTCACATACTTACCCTATCTTTTGGATAATGTTCCAGCTAAAGATGACAGTAGACAGTCACATTCTGAACCTATCTCTAGCATAATGTTCTCATGAAGGATGACAGTCGAATGTCACATACTGATCCTGTCTCTGGCATAATGTTCTAGCTAAAGATGACAGTAGACAGTCACATACTGATCCTATCTCTAGCATAATGTTCCAATGAAGGATGACAGTAGACAGTCACATACTGATCCTATCTCTAGCATAATGTTCTAGCTAAAGATGACAGTAGACAGTCAGATACTGATCCTATCTCTAGCATAATGTTCTAGGTAAAGATGACTATAGACAGTCACATACTGAACCTATCTCTAGCATAATGTTCTAGCTAAAGATGACAGTAGACAGTCACATACTGACCCTTTCTCTAGCACAATGTTCTAATGAAGGATGACAGTAGACAGTCACATACTTACCCTATCTTTTGGATAATGTTCCAGCTAAAGATGACAGTAGACAGTCACATGCTGAACCTATCTCTAGCATAATGTTCTAATGAAGGATGACAGTCGAATGTCACATACTGATCCTGTCTCTAGCATAATGTTCTAATGAAGGATGACAGTCAACAGTCACATACTGATCCTATCTCTAGCATAATGTTCTAGCTAAAGATGACAGTAGACAGTCACATACTGATCCTATCTCTAGCATAATGTTCCAATGAAGGATGACAGTAGACAGTCACATACTGATCCTATCTCTAGCATAATGTTCTAGCTAAAGATGACAGTAGACAGTCACATACTGATCCTATCTCTAGCATAATGTTCTAGGTAAAGATGACTATAGACAGTCACATACTGAACCTATCTCTAGCATAATGTTCTAGCTAAAGATGACTATAGACAGTCACATACTGAACCTATCTCTAGCATAATGTTCTAGCTAAAGATGACAGTAGACAGTCACATACTGACCCTTTCTCTAGCACAATGTTCTAATGAAGGATGACAGTAGACAGTCACATACTTACCCTATCTTTTGGATAATGTTCCAGCTAAAGATGACAGTAGACAGTCACATGCTGAACCTATCTCTAGCATAATGTTCTAATGAAGGATGACAGTCGAATGTCACATACTGATCCTGTCTCTAGCATAATGTTCTAATGAAGGATGACAGTAGACAGTCACATACTGATCCTGTCTCTAGCATAATCTTCTAATGAAGGATGACAGTCGACAGTCACATACTGATCCTATCTCTAGCATAATGTTCTAGCTAAAGATGACAGTAGACAGTCACATACTGATCCTATCTCTAGCATAATGTTCCAATGAAGGATGACAGTAGACAGTCACATACTGATCCTATCTCTAGCATAATGTTCTAGCTAAAGATGACAGTAGACAGTCACATACTGATGCTATCTCTAGCATCATGTTCTAATGAAGGATGACAGTAGACAGTCACATACTGATCCTATCTCTAGCATAATCTTCTAGCTAAAGATGACAGTACGCAGTCACATGCTGATCCTGTCTCTTGCATAATGTTCTAATGAAGGATGACAGTAGACAGTCACATACTGATCCTGTCTCTAGCATAATGTTCTAATAAAGCACGACAGTAGACAGTCACATACTGATCCTGTCTCTAGCATAATGTTCTAATGATGGATGACAGTAGACAGTCACATACTGATCCTATCTCTAGCATAATGTTCTAGCTAAAGATGACTGTAGACAGTCACAAACTGAACCTATCTCTAGCATAATGTTCTAGCTAAAGATGACAGTAGACAGTCACAGACTGATCCTATCTCTAGCACAATGTTGTATTGAAGGATGACAGTCACACACTGATCCTATCTCTAGCATAATGTTCCAGCTTAAGATGACAGTCGACAGTCACATACTGAACCTATCACTAGCATAATGTTTTAATGAAGGATGACAGTAGAAAGTCACATACTGATCCTATCTCTAGCATAATGTTCCAGCTAAAGATGACAGTAGACAGTCACATACTGAACCTATCTCTAGCATAATGTTCTAATGAAGGATGACAGTAGACAGTCACATACTGATCCTGTCTCTAGCATAATGTTCTAATAAAGCATGACAGTAGACAGTCACATACTGATCCTATCTATAGCATAATGTTCTAATGAAGGATGACAGTAGACAGTCCCATACTGATCCTATCTCTAGCATAATGTTCTAGCTAAAGATGACAATAGACAGTCACATACTGAACCTATCTCTAGCATAATGTTCTCGCTAAAGATGACAGTCGACAGTCACATACTGAACCTTTTAGTAGCATAATGTTTTAATGAAGGATGACAGTAGACAGTCACATACTGATCCTGTCTCTAGCATAATGTTCTAGCTAAATATGACAGTAGACAGTCACATACTGAACCTATCTCTAGCATAATGTTCTAATGAAAGATGACAGTAGACAGTCACATACTGATCCTATCTATAGCATAATGTTCTAGCTAAAGATGACAGTAGATAGTCACATACTGATCCTGTCTCTAGCATAATGTTCTAATGAAGGATGACAGTAGACAGTCACATACTGATCCTATCTCAAGCATAATGGTCTAATGAAGGATGACAGAAGACAGTCACATACTTACCCCTACTCTGGCATAATGTTCTAATGAAGGATGACAGGAGACAGTCACATACTTACCCCATCTCTGGCATAATGTTCTAATGAAGGATGACAGTAGACAGTCACATACTTACCCTATCTCTTGGATAATGTTCCAGCTAAAGATGACAGTAGACAGTCACATGCTGAACCTATCTCTAGCATAATGTTCTAATGAAGGATGACAGTCGACAGTCACATACTGATCCTGTCTCTAGCATAATGTTCTAATGAAGGATGACAGTCGACAGTCACATACTGATCCTATCTCTAGCATAATGTTCTAGTTAAAGATGACAGTCTACAGTCACATACTGATCCTGTCTCTAGCATAATGTTTTAATGAAGGATGACAGTAGACAGTCACATACTGATCCTATCTCTAGCATAACGTTCTAGCTAAAAATGACAGTAGACAGTCACATACTGAACCTATCACTAGCATAATGTTTTAATGAAGGATGACAGTAGACAGTCACATACTGATCCTATCTCTAGCATAATGTTCTACCTAAAGATGACAGTAGACAGTCACATACTGATCCTATCTCTAGCATAATGTTCCAATGAAGGATGACAGTAGACAGTCACATACTGATCCTATCTCTAGCATTAAGTTCTAGCTAAAGATGACAGTAGACAGTCACATACTGATCCTATCTCTAGCATAATGTTCTAATGAAGGATGACAGTAGACAGTCACATACTGATCCTATCTCTAGCATAATGTTCCAGCTAAAGATGACAGTCGACAGTCACATACTGAACCTATCAGTAGCATAATGTTTTAATGAAGGATGACAGTAGACAGTCACATACTGATCCTATCTCTAGCATAATGTTCTAGCTAAAGATGACAGTAGACAGTCACATACTGATCCTATATCTAGCATAATGTTCCAATGAAGGATGACAGTAGACAGTCACATACTGATCCTATCTCTAGCATTAAGTTCTAGCTAAAGATGACAGTAGACAGTCACATACTGATGCTATCTCTAGCATAATGTTCTAATGAAGGATGACAGTAGACAGTCACATACTGATCCTGTATCTAGCATAATGTTCTAATAAAGCATGACAGTAGACAGTCACATACTGATCCTGTCTCTAGCATAATGTTCTAATAAAGCATGACAGTAGACAGTCACATACTGATCCTGTCTCTAGCATAATGTTCTAATGATGGAAGACAGTAGACAGTCACATACTGATCCTATCTCTAGCATAATGTTCTAGCTAAAGATGACTGTAGACAGTCACAAACTGAACCTATCTCTAGCATAATGTTCTAGCTAAAGATGACAGTAGACAGTTACATACTGATCCTATCTCTAGCACAATGTTGTATTGAAGGATGACAGTCACACACTGATCCTATCTCTAGCATAATGTTCCAGCTAAAGATGACAGTCGACAGTCACATACTGAACCTATCACTAGCATAATGTTTTAATGAAGGATGACAGTAGACAGTCACATACTGATCCTATCTCTAGCATAATGTTCCAGCTAAAGATGACAGTAGACAGTCACATACTGAACCTATCTCTAGCATAGTGTTCTAATGAAGGATGACAGTAGATAGTCACATACTGATCCTATCTCTAGCATAATGTTCTAGCTAAAGATGACAGTAGACAGTCACATACTGATGCTATCTCTAGCATCATGTTCTAATGAAGGATGACAATAGACAGTCACATACTGATCCTATCTCTAGCATAATCTTCTAGCTAAAGATGACAGTAGGTAGTCACATGCTGATCCTGTCTCTTGCATAATGTTCCAATGAAGGATGACAGTAGACAGTCACATACTGATCCTGTCTCTAGCATAATGTTCTAATAAAGCATCACAGTAGACAGTCACATACTGATCCTATCTCTAGCATAATGTTCTAATGAAGGATGACAGTAGACAGTCACATACTGATCCTATCTCTAGCATAATGTTCTAGCTAAAGATGACAATAGACAGTCACATACTGAACCTATCTCTAGCATAATGTTCTAGCTAAAGATGACAGTCGACAGTCACATACTGATCCTATCTCTAGCACAATGTTCTATTGAAGGATGACAGTAGACAGTCACATACTGATCCTATCTCTAGCATAATGTTCCAGCTAAAGATGACAGTCGACAGTCACATACTGAACCTATCAGTAGCATAATGTTTCAATGAAGGATGACAGTAGACAGTCACATACTGATCCTATCTCTAGCATAATGTTCTAGCTAAAGATGACAGTAGACAGTCACATACTGAACCTATCTCTAGCATAATGTTCTGATGAAAGATGACAGTAGACAGTCACATACTGATCCTATCTATAGCATAATGTTCTAGCTAAAGATGACAGTAGATAGTCACATACTGATCCTGTCTCTAGCATAATGTTCTAATGAAGGATGACAGTAGACAGTCACATACTGATCCTATCTCAAGCATAATGGTCTAATGAAGGATGACAGAAGACAGTCACATACTTACCCCATCTCTGGCATAATGTTCTAATGAAGGATGACAGTAGACAGTCACATACTTACCCTATCTCTAGCATAATGTTCCAGATAAAGATGACAGTAGACAGTCACATGCTGAACCTATCTCTAGCATAATGTTCAAATGAAGGATGACAGTCGACAGTCACATACTGATCCTGTCTCTAGCATAATGTTCTAATGAAGGATGACAGTCGACAGTCACATACTGATCCTATCTCTAGCATAATGTTCTAGCTAAAGATGACAGTAGGCAGTCACATGCTGATCCTGTCTCTTGCATAATGTTCTAATGAAGGATGACAGTAGACAGTCACATACTGATCCTGTCTCTAGCATAATGTTCTAATAAAGCATGACAGTAGACAGTCACATACTGATCCTGTCTCTAGCATAATGTTCTAATGATGGATGACAGTAGACAGTCACATACTGATCCTATCTCTAGCATAATGTTCTAGCTAAAGATGACTGTAGACAGTCACAAACTGAACCTATCTCTAGCATAATGTTGTATTGAAGGATGACAGTCACATACTGATCCTATCTCTAGCATAATGTTCCAGCTAAAGATGACAGTTGACAGTCACATACTGAACCTATCACTAGCATAATGTTTTAATGAAGGATGACAGTAGACAGTCACATACTGATCCTATCTCTAGCATAATGTTCTAGCTAAAGATGACAGTCGACAGTCACATACTGAACCTATCACTAGCATAATGTTTTAATGAAGGATGACAGTAGACAGTCACATACTGAACCTATCTCTAGCATAATGTTCTAATGAAGGATGACAGTAGACAGTCACATACTGATCCTATCTCTAGCATAATGTTCCAGCTAAAGATGACAGTAGACAGTCACATACTGATCCTATCTCTAGCATCATGTTTTAATGAAGGATGACAGTAGACAGTCACATACTGATCCTATCTCTAGCATAATGTTCTAGCTAAAGATGACAATAGACAGTCACAAACTGAACCTATTTCTAGCATAATGTTCTAGCTAAAGATGACAGTAGACAGTCACATACTGATCCTGTCTCTAGCATAATGTTCTAATGAAGGATGACAGTAGACAGTCACACACTGATCCTGTCTCTAGCATAATGTTCTAATGAAGGATGACAGTAGACAGTCACATACTGATCCTGTCTCTAGCATAATCTTCTAATAATGCATGACAGTAGACAGTCACAAACTGATCCTGTCTCTAGCATAATGTTCTAATGATGGATGACAGTAGACAGTCACATACTGATCCTATCTCTAGCATAATGTTCTAGCTAAAGATGACTGTAGACAGTCAGAAACTGAACCTATCTCTTGCATAATGTTCTAGCTAAAGATGACAGTTGACAGTCACATACTGATCCTATCTCTAGCACAATGTTGTATTGAAGAATGACAGTCACATACTGATCCTATCTCTAGCATAATGTTCCAGCTAAAGATGACAGTCGACAGTCACATACTGAACCTATCACTAGAATAATGTTTTAATGAAGGACGACAGTAGACAGTCACATACTGATCCTATCTCTTGCATAATGTTCTAGCTAAAGATGACAGTAGACAGTCACATACTGAACCTATCTCTAGCATAATGTTCTAATGAAGGATGACAGTAGACAGTCACATACTGATCCTATCTCTAGCATAATGTTCTAATGAAGGATGACAGTAGACAGTCACATACTGATCCTATCTCTAGCATAATGTTCCAGCTAAAGATGACAGTAGACAGTCACATACTGATCCTATCTCTAGCATCATGTTTTAATGAAGGATGACAGTAGACAGTCACATACTGATCCTATCTCTAGCATAATGTTCTAGCTAAAGATGACAATAGACAGTCACAAACTGAACCTATTTCTAGCATAATGTTCTAGCTAAAGATGACAGTAGACAGTCACATACTGATCCTGTCTCTAGCATAATGTTCTAATGAAGGATGACAGTAGACAGTCACACACTGATCCTGTCTCTAGCATAATGTTCTAATGAAGGATGACAGTAGACAGTCACATACTGATCCTGTCTCTAGCATAATCTTCTAATAATGCATGACAGTAGACAGTCACAAACTGATCCTGTCTCTAGCATAATGTTCTAATGATGGATGACAGTAGACAGTCACATACTGATCCTATCTCTAGCATAATGTTCTAGCTAAAGATGACTGTAGACAGTCAGAAACTGAACCTATCTCTTGCATAATGTTCTAGCTAAAGATGACAGTTGACAGTCACATACTGATCCTATCTCTAGCACAATGTTGTATTGAAGAATGACAGTCACATACTGATCCTATCTCTAGCATAATGTTCCAGCTAAAGATGACAGTCGACAGTCACATACTGAACCTATCACTAGAATAATGTTTTAATGAAGGACGACAGTAGACAGTCACATACTGATCCTATCTCTTGCATAATGTTCTAGCTAAAGATGACAGTAGACAGTCACATACTGAACCTATCTCTAGCATAATGTTCTAATGAAGGATGACAGTAGACAGTCACATACTGATCCTATCTCTAGCATAATGTTCTAGCTAAAGATGACAGTAGACAGTCACATACTGATCCTATCTCTAGGATAATGTTCTAGCTAAGGATGACAGTAGACAGTCACATACTGATCCTGTCTCTAGCATCAGTTCTAATGAAGGATGACAGTCGACAGTCACATCCTTACCCTATCTCTTGCATAATGATCTAGCTAAAGATGACAGTAAACAGTCACATACTGATCCTATCTCTAGCACAATGTTCTATTGAAGGATGACAGTAGACAGTCACATACTGATCTTATCTCTAGCATAATGTTCCAGCTAAAGATGACAGTCAACAGTCACATACTGATGCTATCTCTAGTATCATGTTCTAATGAAGGATGACAGTAGACAGTCACAAACTGATCTTATCTATAGCATAATGTTCTAGCTAAAGATGACAGTAGACAGTCAAATACTGATCCTATCTCTAGCACAATGTTGTATTGAAGAATGACAGTCACATACTGATCCTATCTCTAGCATAATGTTCCAGCTAAAGATGACAGTCGACAGTCACATACTGAACCTATCACTAGCATAATGTTTTAATGAAGGATGACAGTAGACAGTCACATACTGATCCTATCTCTAGCATAATGTTCTAGCTAAAGATGACAGTAGACAGTCACATACTGAACCTATCTCTAGCATAATGTTCTAATGAAGGATGACAGAAGACAGTCACATACTGATCCTATCTCTAGCATAATGTTCCAGCTAAAGATGACAGTAGACAGTCACATACTGATCCTATCTCTAGCATAATCTTCTAGCTAAAGATGACAGTAGACAGTCACATACTGATCCTGTCTCTAGCATAATGTTCTAATGAAGGATGACAGTCGACAGTCACATCCTTACCCTATCTCTTGCATAATGATCTAGCTAAAGATGACAGTCGACAGTCACATACTGATCCTATCTCTGGCATAATGTTCTAATGAAGGATGACAGTAGACAGTCACATACTGATCCTATCTCTAGCATAATGTTCTAGCTAAAGATGACTATAGACAGTCACTCACTGAACCTATCTCTTGCATAATGTTCTAGCTAAAGATGACAGTAGACAGTCACATACTCATCCTGTCTCTAGCACAATGTTCTATTGAAGGATGACAGTCGACAGTCACATACTGATCCTATCTCTAGCATAATGTTCCAGCTAAAGATGACAGTCGACAATCACATACTGATGCTATCTCTAGCATCATGTTCTAATGAAGGATGACAGTAGACAGTCACATACTGATCCTGTCTCTAGCATAATGTTCTAGCTAAAGATGACAATAGACAGTCACAAACTGAACCTATTTCTAGCATAATGTACTAGCTAAAGATGACAGTAGACAGTCACATACTGATCCTATCTCTAGCACAATGTTCTATTGAAGGATGACAGTAGACAGTCACATACTGATCTTATCTCTAGCATAATGTTCCAGCTAAAGATGACAGTCGACAGTCACATACTGATGCTATCTCTAGTATCATGTTCTAATGAAGGATGACAGTAGACAGTCACAAACTGATCTTATCTATAGCATAATGTTCTAATGAAGGATGACAGTAGACAGTCACAAACTGATCCTGTCTCTTGCATAATGTTCCAATGAAGTATGACAGTAGATAGTCACATACTTACCCTATCTCTAGCATAATGTTCAGCAGCTTCTACATTCAATGGGTCATCAAAGTTTAATAAGTCCTGAAAAGAACAGAGCATCAACCCATCAGAATGAGTGAGAATATCGATATTTTTCTCTTCATGATATTGCAAGATAACATCAAATATTCACACCATATCAATATCTTGAATTTCATGTAAATAATTTTAGAAAATTGATCTGGTGACAGAATAATGGTAATGTATTCCATTCAGGTATATTTTGTAATACTTGCTGACAACAAATGAATAAGTATAGGCACTTACTGAAAATAATGAATTCAATCCCCACACAACATCCTTCAAGTGTCTTGTAGGTGCCCAACCTGAAAGAAGAAGTGCTGCAGTTCAAGGTTCTAAAATATTTACTGCTGGGAATATTTTTTCAATGTATTTAGATATTGTAAATCATGAAATATTGACATTTCACCAAATAAATATAAGTGATGTGCCTTACCTTTGAAATCTAAAAACACTTTCTCATTAGTCTGGGGGCAGTTTGGTAGCCTAGTGGTTAAAGCGTTCACTCGTCACGTTGAAGACCCAGATTCGCTTCCCAACATGGGTACAATGTGTGAAGCCCATTTCTGGTGTCCCCCGCCGTGATATTGCTGGAATATTGCTAAAAGCGGCGTAAAAATCAAACTCACACACTCACTCCCTCACTCATTAGTGAGCAAATAACACTCCCCAAGACTGTAGACTTAGGATATCATGATATTGTGTGGTGTAATATCAGTTGACTGAAAATAGTATGTACTTTTCTCCCACCTAACCATGCTAACATGTTATCTAGTTTCCACCAAATCTATAGCAGGAAATGCCAAAGAACAATGAGCTACCGACAACATTACTATTGCGTATGAGTGGAAATACTGAATGTCAAAATATGTAACTAAAAGGAGGCTTGTTCACAAACGGAAAAAGCATGTAGTGCGCATGGGCTGTAGTACTGAATGTAAACACACGGTACTCACTATAAGCTTTCAAATGGAAATATCAAGTGTAGAACATAAATGAGTTGGATATGAAATGATAGAATGTTGCATACCGGTAACTATGCTCTACAGGTTTCGTGAATATAAAAGCTGTGTTGCTTCTATGTGACGCAGTACTAGTACTGAAGTTGTGATTACCTGGGACCAACGATCGTACGTACATGCATGTGATAAGACTACTAAGCATCACTAATACAGATGCGATCAGGCAGTTTTGTGTTACCATAAACAAAGTCAATTACATTGATGATCAATTAATAATAGACAGCAGATGACATCCACTGGTCATGAAGGGAACGTGTGGAAATGTAATGCCCAGTCTGTCAGAGAAACCATGTGATGTCAGAGGTATTTTAAGATATAGTAATATGTACAGAGCAAACAATGACAAGCTAGCGTTGGAATGGAATACAGTTGCTCAGGTAGTGAAAACCAGAATGTCAAAATCCAAGAGAGGACAAGAATGAGTAACCCCCATCGGTAGTAACACATTGTGTTGAAAAAAATGTTACCAGGTCTGAATGGTGTGTCTACTGACCACACACCCGCCTTAGTCTGAATAACTGGGAAAACTCTCCAATCTTGCAAGGAGGTTTCCATGAACAGGTGATAAATGTGAACAAAGTCTGTCAACCACTGGAGATGGAGACACAGGGTTCAGTCTAATGGTATGAGAAGATCAGTCAGATCAAGGTCTGACCAAGGACGGAGTGAGCGAGTGAGGTGGGTTTAACGCTGCTTTGAATAGTATTCGAGTTATGTGCGCCTCTACAGGAGGAGCCTGGGGAGTGACGGGAACCCAAACCCTGAGGACAACTGCTACCCCCAGGGTTGGCATCATGCCTTGCCTCTTTGGATACGAGTGAACGACTTAACTTAATAGCCTTGTCGAATGGAAGGTGACTTGGCAACAACGTGTGAAAAAGGACACCTTTGAACACTTGGTAAGGTTTGGAGAGCCTGCAAGCGTAGCCACAGCCTAAGACACTGACGTCATGTGATGTAACTACAGCATAATGAAGGCTGAATTAGTCTTCCATGTGCTTGCTTTCTTTAAAACTGGGCGAATGTAAGGAATGAATCTAAAGTGTGAAAATGTTCAATAACCAGAGGTAATCGTCATTGACATGTAGACAGAACTCGTAAAGATCCAGGGTAGAATAGGTCTTCAGCAACTCATGCTTTCCATAAAAGTTGACTGTGCTTGTCATAAGAGAGGACTAACGGGATGAGTGGTTAGGCTTGCTGACTTCGTTGATGCATGTCATTGTAACCCAATTACGTAGATGGATGCTCATGATGTCAATCACTGGATTGTCTGGTCCAGACTTGATTATTTACAGACCGCTGTTGTATAGCTGGAATATTGCTGAATGTGGTATTAAAGAACAAACAAACAAACATGTAGACTGGTGAATGTAAGGCATGCATGTGAAGTGTGACAATGTTCAGTAACCAGGGGTAATTGCCATTGCCATGTAGACTGACGAATGTCAGGCATGCATCTGAAGTGTGACAATGTTCAGTAACTAGGGGTAATCGTCTTCGCCATGTAGACTGACGAATGTCAGGCATGCATCTGAAGTGTGACAATGTTCAGTAACCAGGGGTAATCGTCATTGCCATGTAGACTGGCGAATGTAAGGCATGCATCTGAAGTGTGACAATGTTCAGTAACCAGGGGTAATTGCCATTGCCATGTAGACTGACGAATGTCAGGCATGCATCTGAAGTGTGACAATGTTCAGTAACCAGGGGTAATCGTCATTGCCATGTAGACTGGTGAATGTAAGGCATGCATCTGAAGTGTGACAATGTTCAGTAACTAGGGGTAATCGTCTTCGCCATGTAGACTGACGAATGTCAGGCATGCATCTGAAGTGTGACAATGTTCAGTAACTAGGGGTAATCGTCATTGCCATGTAGACTGGTGAATGTAAGGCATGCATCTGAAGTGTGACAATGTTCAGTAACCAGGGGTAATCGTCATTGCCATGTAGACTGACGATTGTCAGGCATGCATCTGAAGTGTGACAATGTTCAGTAACCAGGGGTTATCGTCATTGCCATGTCGACTGGCGAATGTAAGGCATGCATCTGAAGTGTGACAATGTTCAGTAACCAGAGGTAATCGTCATTGCCATGTAGACTGGCGAATGTAAGACATGCATGTGAAGTGTGACAATGTTCAGTAACCAGGGGTAATTGCCATTGCCATGTAGACTGACGAATGTAAGGCATGCATGTGCTACAGCAGATGAAAGGAGAACATCCAGACTCAGCTGCTCACTGCAGATGCAGGTCAATTCAGATGCAGTATCAATGATGGAGATGCAGATATAGACGTTTCCCTTACAGGCCCAGATATAAACTGCCAGCGTGGAGATCATCAGGGTTGAAGATACCATGCAGACAGATGTAGATGACAATGTGATGATTGTGGCCACAACAAAGTTGGTCCGAAGGACTTACCAAAAGGCAACCCACAAAACAAGCATGAAAACACAATGTAATGGAAGCATACATAATATAATGCATTAAAAAGACAAGGTGCACAAAAACTGGACTATGCAGTGTGGACGACCAATTTGTAACACAAAAAAAGATGAGCAAAAACAACAAAAACATAGGCTGATCCAGAAGGGGGGTCCAGACCCCCATCCCCTTATGAAAACCAAATGTATTATGTTGTTGGCAGTAAAATTATCTGGGAGAGGATTTTGATATTTTGGACCCCTCTCTTGTTTATATGCTGGATCTGCCCTTGAAAAAAAACATTGCGAAACTGAATAAACAGGAATAGAATAATACAATGTGAGCAACAAAAAACAACCTTAAGTGTATATTTAAGTATGTATAGATGCAGTTAGAAGGGGTATCAATGAGCTAGGCAAAACCATGTATGTAGCGCGTGGTGATTTGAAGCAAGCAGAAGTTCAAGGGCGGCTAACTCATAATGGTTGACCGACTTCTGGGGTGCGTTCAGAAGAGCTGTTTCACTCTGTGGCATGAATATGAAAGATAAGAAGCAAACTGCACACTATCATGACAGGAAAGTATTGATAATTGGTCTTCAAAAAAGGCTGATGCCATGTTGAAACTTGTTTTTTCAAGTGCTTGACCAAAATTCAGGTGTCATCAATGGTGGACAACTCACCCATACTATCATAGGAATTCTGTCGCAAGAGACTGAGGCATACTTCTCCATTCTCCGTGATGTTTGGATGCCAAATTTTTGTACTGCAGATAACCTGAGGAGGCTGAAAGAAACAAATTAAACAAATTAAACGCAATAAATTATCCAGCATGATAAGAAATTCCATTAGAGTGAGTGAGTTTTGTTTAATGCCACTTTGAACAATATTCCATATCACGGTGTCAGTTTAATGTAGGGGGAAACCCAGAAGTGATGCAGGTCTTGGACTTTTATCACTTCGGTGAAACCCATGAGTATGGGTATGGTGCTGACAGACCTAGAAACATTATCACGGTGAACTGTGATTCGAACCAACAATCATAGGTTTCTGGCGAGCCATGGGGACGCAATAGACGTGACCCCCAATTCCATTACAAGTCAAAATGAGGTGAGTGATATCTGTACATCAGTAGTCTCTTTGTTCTACATGTTCTGACATATTTAATACAGGTGATGTAGGTCAATACTTACCACAATATTATAGTCCTCAGGCACATCTATATGAAACTTGAATTTGCCACCTTGCCAAAATCCTTCATCTGGACAAATTATTAGTGAGAACTTGTGTATTTTATTGATGTCATCAAACTGAGCACGACATGTCTTGGGTAGATTTTCTTCCATTTCTTGCACCTCTGTAAAAACCAAAACCAAAAACAACAGTCTGAATGACATCTGATAAAGCTGTAAAACTTAGGGATGGTATGAACATTTTCCTATGTGTGAATGATAAATTTTGTATGGTCTTAATGAGCAAAGATAGATAATCTATCAGTACTTGAGATAGATATGTTTTCGATGACTGACAATACCTAATTTCTAGATAATCAAACTAATAAAGTCTAGAATTTTTTTATATTTGTATTCTTGTCCTGCATTACTCCCTAATACATTCACTGCTTACCTTTTGACAGAAGTGAAGCTGTGATTTAAAGAAAAGTGTTGTTCCATTCTGAAGACGGACCCTCCCAATCACTAGCTGTCACGTCACACCGGCCGTGGTAGATAACTGATTTCTCCATATTACTGTAGATAACCAATTTCTCCATGTTACTGTTGGTGACACGTTAAATATCTCAAGATCATGTGTGGAGGCAGGTCTGTGATGGGTGGGCCTTTAGATGTAGTAATGCAGGACAAGTATATAAATATATAAAATATCTAGATTTAACCAGATTTTTTTACTCATCCTGCATTACTCCTTAATGCATCTGTATCTGACAGTATGGAGGCTTGAATACCTTCTGATGTGTACTCAATAAAAACTCTCCTGACTAAAATTTTGTGTCAGCCAGTCTTGGATGAAAACTTGTTATGCATAATAAGAGGCATAATAAGAGTTCATTCTCGTCTTCCACTCCCATGATGGATCATAATGGTGGGATAGTGAAAGAACGATCAGGTTGTCCTGGCAACTGGTTTTCAGCTATAAAATCCAAAAGCGTACACGAATGATATCAAGTGTATGAATCTTGCTCACTTTTGCTGCCTTTGCTCCTGCCAAGAGACAAATTGTCTTCTTGGTGTCGTTGAAGAATGAAGTTGCGTGGAGAGGCTTGAATGGAGTTCCCCGCAAACACCAAAGTACCACATTCAAATCCCACACAGGGGGACGAAATTTGGCCTTCAAATCCTCAAGCCTAAATGAGCGTAATAAAGCTTGCAGTTCCTGAATCTTGGTTATTTTTTAATCCTCTGGTACTGCCAACACTGGATTTAAAGCTACCAAATAGGTAGTGATGGTGCTACCTTTCAAGTGTCATTTGGTACGCAAGTGTAGAAGATACTCGGCCAAGAATTGAGGTGAGGCTTTAGTGGAATCTTGAGCCTTTACTTTACAACAGGTCTCAAACTTGTGCCGAATAGCCTTTCTTACCTAGGGCTCTTTGTAAATGAACCAGGCATGTAGATGAAACCTGCCTGGTGTGGGGTGTGGTCGCCTACTGTGTGGATGTACCAGTAGGTTGGGCCAACCCGGTAGAGGTAGTGGTTTATTCCTGCAAGGTTTCTTAGGTCCATGAACCACCCTCTCACCAGCCACCAAGGCACAATCAAAATCAGAGCGAGGCTCCTGGTTGCCCTTATCTTTTGCATCACCTTGGGAAGAAGTACTGGGGGTGAAAAAGCATATGCTTTTAACCCCTCACGTGGGATGCTTAGTGCATCGACTGCCAAGGCCTGTGGATTTTGCGAATAGGTCGATGTTGGGTTTCCTAGGCTCTGACGAATGAGATGGAATGCCTCTGGGTGGCGTTTCCACTCTGTGGGCACCACTCTGTCTGGCCTGGATATGGCATTCTGACAACTGGGTATGTGATGGACCAGGAAGCGAAGACCCAGTCGATCCATCAGGTTGAAAAACCTGACCGTCTGTTTGAGCAGAGAGTGTGAGTGTGAGTCTGCAGGCACCAGACCACCGAGATGTGTCAGTGGAAATGGCGAGTTGGGTGTTTTGAAGGTGCTCCTCCCAATGTATCATTGCGAGTATGAGCACCTCCAACTTAAAAATTGTTGATGTGCAATGTGCACTGTGCGCTGGACCACAACCCTGATGCTGTCTGGTCCTCTAGATGTGCACCCAAATGTTGCAGAGATGTGTCTACGAACAGGCGGGACGTCGGGGTGACTCTGTTAAGGAGACACCTACTAAGACGTTGACACTACTGTCTACCAATTGAGGTGAGTCTTGAGATGGACCGGAAGAGCGATGGATATGGTCAGGTCCTGTCATCTGATCTGAGGAACCAGGAACCAGGCGTAATTGCAACTGACCCCTGATCGTCAAGTCCTGAGATGACGTAAGCAGTCCCAGAAGCACTTGCCATTATTGAAGTGTGATGGGCTGCTGCAGGGTGGGGTACAGATGGCGTAAGATTTTTATCCATCTGTCCCTTGGCACTGATAAGAGGTCTAGATCTGTCTGAAATAGCCCTTCTATGAACTTGAATCAGTAGGATGGGATTAGTTTCCGACTTCACCTTGTTGACTATCCAACCAAGTTGATAAAGCAAGCACCTGGTGAAGTCCCAATGACGGGTTAGGATCACCGCTACTAGATGATTCAGTATGCAGTGGTCAATCCACTGAAATGCCAAATGGTACGACCGTTCACTGGTACTGGAACTGGAACTGGAACCTGAGGAACTGCTGGTTGTTGGGATGAATAGGCACATGCAGGTAAGCATCCTGCAGGTCGACGCTGAACAGGGAATAGTAAGCATTGATGCTGTCCCTGAGCAGACTCAAGGTAATGAGACAAAAGTATGCAGGACACTCTAGGTAACGTTTGTTGAACAGTGCAAGGTTGTGTATCATCTGCATCATGTAGAATCCTGCTTGAGAATGAGAAAAATGGGAGAATAGAACCCTGGTGTTAGAGTTGGGGTCTGCAACAAGGTCTGTATGTTGGTCCCCAACAACTGATGGGTAAAGCTACAGCTCTGGTGCTGTTGTCAACGGAGGCTCTGCACTCAAGCTGAAGCAATACCTGTACCTTATGATGTCTGCGATACCAATCCAATTTCACCAAAACAGGCCTAGTCTCCCACCTACTGGTGTGTCGACTATTGGGATGACTGGAGGTGGGAGAACCCAGTAGTGATTGTCCACTGGTTCAATGTTTCCCCCTCATGTCCCAGCTCCTAGCCTGTGAACTACCCTATCAAGATTGATAGGAGCTTTGACCCCTGACTTGTCCTTTGCCACGAAAGGAGGGCTGATTGGTGGTCTGGTCATTGAAGAATGAGCCTCTGTGTCGATAATTCCCTGACTTCGACGCACGTTGACCAAGGTTCTTGGATACATGTTCCATAGTCTTTAGTGCTGTCTCATCTTGAGTATGTGTTTTAGTGATTTGGCCATTAAATAATGTAGTGGGCCACCATGGCTGATGGAGCAGCCAGTGCTTAACTTTAGAATCCCAATTAGATAAGGCCAGATACCCAAGATGGCAGGTGGCGGTAATCTCAGCTAAAGCCGCCTTAAGGATATTGCACATGTCAAATGTCAATCTCAATCTGCCTTTGTTGGAAATCTACCACCATCTGGAAATGATTGATCCTATTGGCATTGGTTACGGAAAAATCTTGGTCCATAGCATGAGATGAGGCAATGGCTGACAAGGGTTTTAGGGACCGTCTGATTTCCATTTCTTTGAAGGCGAAAGAGCTGTCAGGGATCTTGATGGTAATAGGCATGGACGAGCCTGTCATCAAATGGAGATCCTCATCCAAGTCATGAGCTGGTCTGCTACCCCAAAGGCGTGTTTTGGAAAAATCCCCATCCAGCGCTCTGACCATATACTTTAACATGGAGTCAGGTGGAATGGAAGTAGGGTGCAACCAGATTGTGTCCCTCTTGTTGACGCCTGAACCAGGGAAAGGCGCTACCGCTGACAGAGGGTCAGCCATCCAGTCTGGCATCCCAGCAATACCTAGATGCATATCTCACTCAACGGGGTTGTCAAGCAATTTAGCTATTGACACCTTTGAGGAGTCCAAATGATATTACTACTAACTGTGGACAGGAGAACGGCTCCTGGAGCGCCATTTGGAGTTAGATGCATTGAAAGATCGTCTAGAAGCCGTACTGGGGGACAATGAGTCCTGTGACATGACCAGAGATGATGATGGAGTACCCAAGCACACCCCTGGTGTAGCCAGAGCTGTAGATGGGACTGCAAGAGACGCCGGAGACGCTACAGGCGATTGGGGAATAGCACGCGCTTGGGTAAGTTTATTCACCAGAAACACTGGTGGTGCGTAAGACCCTGAAGGCGCTACTGTAGTATGCAGATAGGTAGGCACAGGTGCCTGAAGGATATGGGGTGTTTTTAAGAGAAGCAGTGAAAGTCACAGGGACAGCAAATAACGAAAATTGAGGACCAATTAGCAGCACATGTGTTCTGTACGGTGACCAACAATGATATGAAGAAATCTGTCATGTACCACTTTCAGGTGGTGTGGCAGCTAGTGACTGGGAGGGTCCTGCTTCAGAATGGAACAACACTTTTCTTTCTTCAGCAGGATCAATCACACATTCACTTCTGTCAAAAGGTGAGTAGTGAATGCATTAAGGAGTAATGGGGGATAAGGTAAAAAATTACACATCATCAACACTAGACAAACTAACTAAGGTCAAGTAATAGTTAGAAACCGAGACTGAAAGGTCTGAGGTAGATCACCTACAACCACTCCCTGATAGGGAACACAATAAAGTAACAGGGTCCACCTACAACCACTCACTGATAGGGAACACAATAAAGTAACAGGGTCCACCTACAACCTCTCCCTGATAGGGAACACAATAAAGTAACAGGGTCCACCTACAACCAATCACTGATATGGAACACAATAAAGTAACAGGGTCCACCTTCAACCACTCCCTGATAGGGAACACAATAAAGTAACAGGGTCCACCTACAACCACTCCCTGAAAGGGAACACAATAAAGTAACAGGGTCCACCTACAACCACTCCCTGAAAGGGAACACAATAAAGTAACAGGGTCACCTTCAACCACTCCCTGATAGGGAACACAATAAAGTAACAGGGTCCACCTACAACCACTCCCTGAAAGGGAACACAATAAAGTAACAGGGTCCACCTACAACCACTCCCTGAAAGGGAATACAATA